TTTTTCATTTGATATTGTGACAACGCCATATTCGTTACTCGATTTTAAATCGGTTTTGTCACCAAAAATTTAGTTTCACTTATAGGCACACATTGTTCTGTCAGATCGACGATCGTGAAATCTCGCTGGTCTTCAACATGTTGTTCGCTTCTCTACACTTTTTCGTACCCGTCATATGCAGCAGAACAATACAGATTGTGAGCCTTTCTAGAAACTTATAGGTTTTAATTTTGAGTACACACGCTGTTCAAGGGTCTTGAATAATTTAGCACATATACAGCGATTAACCGGCATTGCAGCAATGTGTATAAGAAATATCTTCTTTTTGGATCAGTGGGGCAAAAATTACGGTAACAAGAGCGCTCACGAACGTCAGTTTCCACTAAACTTGAAAGGTGCATTAAGCTAACAGGATGTTCGAGAGTGACCAGTTGGCATTGCAGCAGATAAACTTCCCGCACACAAGGTGAAAATTGTGCAAAATTGGTGTAGCGGCAAACGAAGAGGACTTTATTCTCCCAAGTTGAATCTAGATCGATCACTGGGACCACTTGGAGATATTGGACATATCGAAAATGAATGTGTAAAAAAGCATTGTGGCAAGCTCATTATACATAAGTGTATCTACAGTGTGTGGACCGCAAATGTAACGCTTTGCTATGAGTATACGTCAGGCTTGTCTCAACTCGCATCAGGCTGCCGTGGTCGATGGAATGACTTGCGACAAAATATTCCTGATATGTCCCCCATGGCAGACCGCTTGTCCTGTTTGCCTGCCCTGGTCTTATTCACGACATGACGTCATCTGCTTATCGCTGTCAGAGGTCAAGTTGCTTCCACGTAGATTGCGTGCAGCATCGAGGCAGCCACATAATTTCTTCAATTGGTTAACAGGCGTGTAGCTTCTGAAAGATATTAATAGTAGCTGTGACTATGGAACACCCCTTCCGACCAGCGTTTCACATAACGTCGCAATGACCCACGACCCATGTGAGAACCAGGGTAAGCTCGAAACCGTTACAATGCTCCCATATCAAATTCTCCTGATGTCGTCGGTGTGAAGGCTACTATGACCTTCGCTGGCAGAATGGAATATGCTCTTCACTTTTTGCTCAGGAGCTTCGGTTTGAACATAGCAAAGTGTGATTAATGAAATTTTACGAGGAGAAATGTCTCCTTTTTGGCCACCCTGTACACAATTGCCATACTTTGACCGGATTACTTCGCTCATGTGATTGCAAGATTATATGTACAAACAGGCAGACTTCAGGAAGTATATCTTGAATCTTATGGATATCATAAAGTGCCATGAATAATGTCTGTTGTCCACCCGCATGTGTTTTAAACTTGTTGGGCCTATGAATACATTATCTTCTTACCGTAGTTGTTGTCCAACCTTATAGTATAATTCTACAACAAGGATTTAACAGCTTACTCATCATTATCAGGTCAGCTTATTTAGAGGACCTACAACTGAACTTTCTTTCAAAAATTTAATGTATAATCTTGATTATGCCTCACCATATAGAACTAAAGAAACGATACTTTTAAAGAGCAAATGAACTGATAACCATTATATTGTACTGAATGTACTTTAGGTTTCGAGGGGGACGCCCTAGTACGCCCATATTGCTCTAAACGTCAAGATGTGTCATCGCGGATTTTTGTTCAAAAGTTCTCATAACTGGGAGCAAATACATTTGATAGTACGAGATGAACAATAAGCCAGCCAGGTACATAATTCAGCGCAGAGTATGCTAATTGTAATATTGGCTGGGTCTTCGTTCTCGAATCTTGCCATGGCCCAGCTTGTTCGAAAAGCAAAATTCACTGAGACTAACTGTGATTGAAGAGAAGAGAGCACCCAAATGTTTGCGGACTTTGAGAGGAAAAGTAGAGATTCATGACGTGAACCATAGCGAATTGCTCCACTTAAAGGCAAAGGTCGGGCTCAGGCACGCTAGAGAAGTAATTCCCGTGCCTGGAGGTTGTATGTGGGTAGCTGCACACATTGCAGCAACTTCCCACCTTGAAAAACCCCGTTAAGGCCCCGGGGGGCGTTCGGTTTCAATCCAGGGCCGCCTGGTCAATCCAGGACCGCCCACCTGCGGAAGTGGTGCGTGGCTGGCATAACGTGTGAAATCAGCTAGCGTTGGTTGCCGTATCAACCGATAGAACGACTGACATCTCCAGAAAACTTGTTTGTACGTGCCTCCCCCCCTCTCTACCATTCCCAGCCATCTTCCTCTCGAGCATAGCGGAGAGAGAGAGGGTTTTCTAAACGGCCCTGTCGACGTTTCCATTGTTTTTTTCTCTAATTCGCGTTCACTTCGACATCGCGTATTAAAGCGCCATTAAGACCCCTGAATTGAGCCTCGACGTTTTGCCGTTAGCATCCACTTGCGCGGCGTATTAATTTGTGTATTTATGTAGGTGTCCTCAACATTTATTCATTTCGAAGTAAGTGACAAGGAAATTGTCAGTTGGGCGTTTTGTATTTTACGCATTGCGACTTCGATAACACAGGTGACAACCATTCTTTATGTCGCCCTGGTGAAAGTGAGGGCTGCATCTTGGACGAAGGCTGAGCAGGACAAAGCCATGAACAAGAATGGATTTGTGTCATTTTCGCAATCATCTATAAAAGTGAATTTGAATATAGGTTAAGTGAATAAATATTCATAACTTTGTGTTTCAATTATGTTGCGATCTTGTTGAGTATCGTATATCTATTTGAGTCAACTTAAAATTAAAAAAAATGTATAAAATTAAAAAAAATTAATAAAATAACCACTGCGATACATTCTTCTACCGTTGCGCGCCACCTAGACATTGCAATCGCCACCATTATTTAATATACCAGATTAGTCCCCCGTCAACCGCCGGGACCTTCCTTTCCTGCGCAAGCTTTCTATCCTCCGCTATGGTCCCTTCCTCCTGTGACACCAACACCTCGTGGAAGTGACGCGTATGCAACACAATGGTGTTTCATACAGTAGAAGGGACACAATCATGATATGACGGTAGATTTTTCGCTTCCCTTCCTCATCCTCCCTTCCTCTCTCCACTGCCCTCCAGCTGCCACTGCAGCACCATGTGGAATGAACGGAAGTGTGCTAAGCAGGTGTTTATATAGCCCTAAGAGTGTTATCACAACTATCCTGCTACAAAACATTGATATCTCAAATCCTGTAAGCTACCCGATTTGTTAGCGGTTTGTTTATCCCATGAGCTTCCTTTCTCACTCACTTCATTTTGCGGACGGACACACATACATACACACGCACACACACACACACTCACACACACACATACAGATACACAAACCGACACACAAAGTTAGCGCTTTATAATATAGTAGGATTATATTATACATTAGAGCATCTCATGTGATAAAGAAAAAATTGAAGTTAACGACAAACAATTGCACCGAGTAAAAGCGCACCAGGTAGCAAACTCTATCGAAGTATGGCAGCTGGTATAAAAGTAGCATTTGCTAAAAGACAATCAATTAAAAGATAAATAAAGGAATTACATCAAAGGAACGAAAGTTGAATAGGAGCATAGGAAAAAGAGCCAGAATCTACTAGTAATTCATCCAGCCTCTAGGTTTTCATCGAGATACTTTTGAAGGCATCAAAACTTGCAGGAACACTTTTCTTTCTGCTCAACTTGAGGAACTGTGTGTAGACACGATTGGTAAAAAAGTTAGACCTGCACTTGAGTTTAGCTCTTAGGAAGGCGCAACTTGAAAGCCCCACCTCTAGTAGTGGAGGCTCTTAGATCACCAAATGAAGTAAGATCTAAAGGACAGCGCCCATGGAGAATGTTATGAAAAAACAACAGATCGAACTTGTTTCTACGCCAGCAGAGAGAGCGGAGGTGCGCCAAAAAATACAAATTCAACGATCTGCAATATATCCTGCAGCAGGACATATTGCGGTATGACTCACTGTGGAGTTTATTTCAGATGACTAGACTTTCTAATATGCTTTGAATTTTATTGAATCTGTTGCCTGTTAGCATGTCAAAAATGATATTCTGTGTGTAAGTGAGACATGAAAGGGCTGGTGGGGACGTTCGTGAATCAGATTAGCTCAAAATTCGCAGCACATGGTTATTTATGGTGCTCACAAGTAATAAACAATAGCAAGAAAAAACTCCATGCAAAAAGTTTAGGGCTGATTGTTCACTATAGTGTTCGATAAAAAGAGTCATTCGTCAGCCTCATGTGATTTGTATTCAAACGCAAATTTTCCTTCCAAGATCTCAAGTTTTGCACATGAGCCTATAAGCCAATAAGAGGATTGGTCCAATTTATAGAAATGTCTCTTTACTATAAAATGCTGCAATTGCAAGAGTCTGCACGTGGAATCAAGTAAAGACAAATTGGCCTACACTGCAACTAATTACAAACTCTACGGTCTCTGGAAATCAAAGTTACGTTGACCCAGATACTTTGGTCACGAGTCCTTCTGATCAGTTACCGCAAAGAGCCACTCAAACAGCAGCCTTCCTTTTTGAAATCCTTGATATTCACCGAGAAAGTGGTGGTTGACGCCTTACTTTATCGAAGCGTAAATAAATGTCCGGGACGGTTTGAACGCGAGAATTCCGAAAACAAGAAAGAGCGCGATCATTGAAGGTCAGTCATGAGCCCACTCACTGATTCGATATTTTTTATTTATTATTATCTTCAATATTCGGCATGGTTGGAGCGAAAAAAGAGTTATAGCCATTAGTTATCATCGCTGGGCCAACACAAAATCATAGCGAAAGGAAACTCATCCTGAGAGGATTAGGGTAGAAAAGGTTCCTTCGAATAACATATGCGATACTTGGAAGAAGCGGGCTTCAAGGGGAGAACTTTGATTCGAAGAACTCCAACTCCCACGATATAGCAGTCAGTAGGAAAATAGGGATTTCAAAAAACCGACTTGTTGAGCCCACTAATGTGGGCTTAAAAGGTCGCGGTCAAGCATTGGATATAGCACCAACCATAAGTACTTCCTTTCGTCAGGAACATTGAGAAACTGCACAGCTGTGGTGAAGAAGGGACACCAACTGAACCAATTCTCTTATTTTACGAAACGCTTAATTAGTGTGTCGATTTGTCGGCATGTGTGTCGATGTACCGGTGCGTATTTCCATCAGCAAAATTAATGCTAGAACAACTCGTGGAATGGTCAACTGCTAACGGAGCTGGCGAGCTCGCAAGTCTTAAATTATCAACGTTTCGTGATGGCACGATTGCAGTAACACTGACTGCGCTAAATAAGCATACACTAATGGTAAGGACATTCTACCATTCTGACGTGCTGTTAGCAGTACAGTAAATTTCTTCAGTAAAAGACATTCAGAGAGCAAGCTTCCACTCGAACAATAAGAGGCCGTGTCCTGGATTGCCCAACAGACGAAGCGGCTCCATAGAAAATGTTCATTCGCGTCGCGGACGCGTTCGCGTGTTGGTGACGTCACAGCGGCGGTTGAGGGAGCGAGCAAGGGCTAGCTTCTGCCACCGTTACTTCAATGAATTGAGTATTCCGAGAAACTATCGTACTCTTACCTAAGTGAGCAATAAGTAGAAGTAAGTAAGAGTGTATAGAGATTCTCCTTATGATAAACCGAAACCTATTTATACTCGATATCCGAAAGTTGGGGTAGGCGTGTCACCGGAAGTGACGTGCACTTGATAGAAGCTATGTGGATAAGCTGCTTCCAACATACATCGCTGGATATCAGCAAAGCATGCTGGCAACAGCTTATCCACGCAACTTCTATCAAGTGCACGTCACTTCCGGTGACACGCCTACCCCAACTTTCGGATATCGACTGTACATGAATGGAAATATTGAACCACCGAAGCAGTGATATAAGGGATCTAACTGTTGTTTTGATTGGCCTATAAAAGGCTTCTGCAGTTAGAATAAAGTAGTTTTCGTCTTCTTCGTCTCAACGGCAGTAGCGGATCGACTTCATCGGCCCAACCAGCGGATCCGGCGCCAGCGGAAGCAGTCGAAGGAGAAGAAGCTCATCCACGCAGCTGCATCAGTAACGTGGGTCACTCTTACTGTCGTTTTCCTTGGCATTCCGACGAGGAATTCTTCGTCGCCCCATCAACCGAATCGTTGCACGACCACAGGAATCTTCTCGCATCAAGACGGGCTCAAGACAATAACCAGGAGCAGAAGACCGAAAAGTTCTCCAGAGAACAGTCAGACAAACAAAGGACAGCAATTGAGCTAAAGTTAAAATATGTTGAGAACGCATTGTATAAGTACATCAGTGCAACCGACTGTTTGAACCTCAGC